GAACCTATTGCAATAAAACGGCAATTTCATACTTTAACCCCTAATATTAAAAATCCGTGGTAGCCTCATGGTTTAATCTACCGCCTAGCAGAGACATTGGGTTCGAAGTTTCTCGGAATCTATGTACGAAATTTAATTTGAAATTAATTGGAAAGTGATCGAGACGAACAAGTCGTGCACCTGGTGGTAAGCGACACACCTATACATAACAGTTGCAATGCCGTTCAGAGCGTGAAATCGCAAAGATTTGACCCTGTCAAGAAGTCACCATGAGACATAAGTTGGAAGTCCCATGTGCCTATAATTTAAATAAAATAAATAAAATGTTTTATTCGTTCATTTTAAAGTGCATAGTACAGGGGCGGATGTTTCCATTTAGGCTTGTTAGGGCCTGTGTTAGGAAACATCGTTCTTCTGTAATATTAATAGTAATCTTGCTCTTGTATTACTTTAAGAGGGAGCAGAGGAAAAATTCCTAATCTTCCATTTGATTTTAGAGGGGTATATCCACTTTAAAGTTAAAAATAAAATATTGTATGAGTAACTACACGATATATTCAAGCATAGACATTAATCAGAAAATAAAACAATAAAGTTTCCTCGACAGGTAAAAAACACGAAATGACCTCTAATTTTCACATTTTTTTCGATTTATCTCCGAAATGCTACAGGTTATTAGGACAAAAAGTAGATAATTAATTATATTTATGCATGATCGAGAACTGTCACTACGGATTTTTTTAATCCCTTTAGTTTTAGAGTTATTCCTCTAAAACGAATTTGGTACTTTTAATGCGCAAAATTCAACATCTCCTGTCGCATGCCACGGGAACTTCAGGCATATATTTGTTTCACAAATTTGGGCGGAGCCAACATCAAAGACTTTTTATGACTTATGATGAAACTGACTACCTCTGCTATAACTGGTGTTGCAACTAATACAAATTATAGTCATTTTCAACTTTTCAGACTAAAAATAGATTAATAAATAGGGTTAGTGTATGTGAGTGCAAGTATGTGCATATGTGTCTGTAAGGGTGGAATGTGTGAATGCGTACATGTGTGTCATTCATCCGAAAGACGTACAATATCCAAAATTATATATTGCCATACCATGTTAAACAGTATCATTTCAATTGCTTGTCTCATATATAAGAAGTTATTATTGTAATTTCGCCAGCACCTTTACCCTTCCAAACCGGAACACAGTAATGCTCACATTACTGCTTGGCGGCAGAAATAGGTGAGGTGACAATACTTACCTGGACGAACTCGTTCACAAGGAGCTCTACTAGCTCGCTTAGATAGTTAATAAGTCTGAGAGTCACGATAATTTTTGTATTTAACCCGTCACTCGTTTTAATGACACACGGTGTCCCTAACGTCTTTTTTTGCTGTGGCGTCCTGCCATCGACACGCCATGTGTCTGTGAGACGCGTAATGGATTAAAAGAACATCATATTCATTCAAATAAATAAAGGTACATAATGTTATTGCAGCGAATAAACCACCACGAGCTTGGCGATCCTCGTTACCACTGTGCCCACTGCAAATTCTTTTTCGCTGACGACAAAGCTTTTCAAGAACACGTAGTGAGGTACGGGCACGACGAGGTTAAAGACATTCCGTGAGTATACGCTTATACTATATAATTTGTTTAACACCGAGTTTAATCAATGTGATATTTCAAGTGTAATTTACTTACCTATGAAATAATGATTACTTACATTTAAGATGAATGATTGTATTATGTAATACATCAATTATACATAAAATCGTATAATCATCAATGATCAATGAATGTTCATTGATCATTGATGATTATATTACATTACATATATTACATTAAATTAAAAAGATTTTATATGAAAGATCAATATCAGAGGAGGCATACACAAGCTGGTCATTGATCTAATTGTTGTACCTTACATATTAACGCAACTCACTAGAAAAGAATAAATAATCTTTTTTTTTTTTTTTTTTTTTTTTTTTTTGTTTTCTTTATTTGCCACGTCACAAAGCTCGTAACATTTAGCACGTCAATAGTACAAAATTCTTATCAAAGTCATTTACTACTAACATTTAATATTTCCTATAACTAATGCACACTCTCAATACACTACTAGAACTAAATTCAAAGATTTGCACAATATACACATAAATTAAATATTATTTAATAATAATATATTGTTATGATATAAATCGCATAAGTAATAAATCATTAATAGATACATTAAATGTTATAAAATAATGAGCATTTTTTTGAATGCATAAGGTCAAAATATTCGTCAACTTTATAGAATGGATTTTCAATTAAAAAATTTTTTATCTTTGTTTTGAATTCTAATTCGGGCAATTCGGATATAGTCGGTGGTAGTTCATTGTACAATTTTATCTTTAGACAGTAACCTTGCTTAGCAGTTCTTTTCAATCTCGTTTTTGGTACTATCAGTTTGTTTTTGTTTCTAGTATTGTAAGGGTGTACGTCTCTGGTTCTTTTCAAGTTATTCTTCTTTTTATGTACTTCCTTCAAGGAATTAAAAATAAACAATTTAATTATAAGTAAAAAATAAAGTAATAAATTTAATTTTAAGATTCTACCTTGAATGTACTGTAACTTGTTATTAATATTTGTAATGAACAGTTTTAAATTTAAAAATTTTTTTTAATGTATATAGTCGGTGTTTGAAGCATGTTTTGAGGCCTAACGACTGTTTTAAAGTATTTACATCTTGTTTTCAAAATCGATTTTAAAACTTAATTAAAACCTAAAATATGCTCCCCGAAAAAATACGAAATACGAAACGTACGTGACGTACGCTCTTTCTACATTACACCGACGATATGTACATGCGCTCATGTGGACCCCGTTAGGGTTAACAATTTGAGAGAGGAACTTATGATACAGGTATCCGCAAGACAGGTATACGCAACGGTTTAGAGTTGTATACCAATATTTTGTGTTAAACGACAACACTGACCCGGAAAAACAATATTAATACCACCGGACTGTCTTTCAACTTCGCAGATAATAAACTGTAATATTCATATGATTATAGAAATGGGTGCACAATGTGCAGACAAGTATTCGAGAACGTGGAACAACAGCGTGATCACATCTGTAAACAACCCTACGGCTCTCGATATAAAGCTTTATATCCAAAAACTTGCTGCTACGTGAGTATTTTAGATATAGACATGCATTAATTTACTCGAAGCACTACACACTGGAATGACAATTAATAAAATAAAACATGTGACAAGGTTCATAACAAGACCGTCATTGATTTGCCGAAGAAATTTATTCTTCTAGTTGGGTACTATCACTGCATTACTACGTTCCGGTTTTAAAGGGTAAGGGTGCTGGTGAAATGACAGGCACATGGAACGTGTCAACTTACGTCTCAGATTGACGGGCGCAGTGCCCCAGATCTTTGCGATTTAAAGCTCTGAGTGGCACTGCAACTGTCATGGACAGGCGTGTGGCTTACCACCAGGCGCACCACCAGGCGCACGACTTGTTCGTCCCGTCACTTTATATTATAAAATAAAAATAAAACACTTAATTCTAAACTTGGTCATCTTTATGCGGAACGAATTTAGTTGAATTAGTTAGAAAATAATCGGCAATCGGTATTTTCCAAAGTACCTTATGACCTGATAAGTAAATAAATAATTCAAAACTAGATTTCAGAAAAAGCATTTATGTTAAAACGTACCTATGACTCGTACGATGCATCAAGATCATTAAGTCCTGGTATAAGTAAAAGAAGTGTTAATGGTTTTATTACCCTATTGCAATAGAAAGGATAAGGCTCAATTTACATTGCGGCGGGACGTAATGGAATGGAAACGTCAATTTTCTCTATGCGCGAGACGCGCGTGGTCTCTGGAATGCTCGAGCATGCGCGAGAATTCCGCGGACGACGCGGGATGTGATTTTTGGCTCTTATTTTATCTTATCATTACGCTACACAATATCATTACAAAAATTAGCTTCCATTCCTAATCCAAAAGCCAATTTGAGCCTATGTCGTTCTAAACCATTTAAAGCATTTACTACACATAGTAATACGAACAGAGCATAATAATATAACAATATTGTGGGATGGGCCGCCCCTTCTCAGAACAACAGTGCCTGGATGGAACAGGCTCAGTATAATCCTTGTTGCTGTATGCCACGCAGTACTAATTTTCAGCCTGGCCTTGTTGACTCGTCGTTTTACAACATAATCCAATTTAACTACACCACCGCCACGATAAACATCGAATATTAATAATATTTATATCTGTTGAAATTATTAATAACATTTAATAGATTTTTTTTTTTAATTATGGTATGACTATGACTATGTACGACTAATTTACATGTAATGAACAATAATAATATTATTTTAAAAAATATATAAACCAGACAATATTCTCAATTACACTTACGCTGGCTCGCTGTCTGCTCTGTCTTTAAACTAATAGAAGGAAAAAAAAACAGTTTATTTCACTAAAATTAAAATAACATTCTTCCCATTTTACTCATACGAATTTATAGTTATACTAAAAGATAACATTAATCGGTGCAAATAATATTTTTTCAACTATACCAAATTCGTTAGTGACACCTTGTGTTTCTGTGACGCGCAGCGGTTTAATTTACCCTGTGTATTAAAATATATTTTGCAGTGCGATGTCCAGCTCAGCTGCCATCTCGAGTACTCCACACACATGCACACGGTTCACAGAGAGCTAACATACATGCCTCTCTCTGGTTACGACTTGTGCGAGCGCTGCGGCAAAACGGTGATTGCTAAACCATGTTTACTAAGCCTCTGTTTCGTATCGTCAAGATCGATCAAGTGCCATCGGTCGAAAAAGTTTTCTTTGTTCGGCCTTTGTATTATTAATCATATTTTTATTTAATTTCAGGTCTACAAAAGAGGTATGGAGTCGCACATAAAACTCCATCACGACACTACCGTAAAATCAGTATCATGCAGGTAATTACAACGTATTAAATTCTTTTTTATCTTTTCAGTAAATTAGTACACTTTTTAAAACAAGCGAAAAAAGAGATGACTGAAGGTGCAAGTGATTTAAATTCCGTGTGGTACAGAGTGGCTAAGAATTTAAAAGTGCTACAAGTGCACTTGCCCCGATAATTTGAAGTGCTACAGCTGGACCACTAGTGCACTTGCCCCGATACATTTGCTTCGTAAATACACTTGTTCCGATAATTTGAAAGTACCACAGTTGTCACACAGGTGCAGTTGCTTCGGTAACTTGAAAGTTCTACAGTTGTTTTTTTTTAAGCCCCATATTAAAGAAACCCTGTGTCGTGCAAATGCAAATTGCTCCACAGGCACACTTTTGGCAATAATTTGAAAGTACTACAGTTGCCCCGCAAGCGCACTTGCCCCGATAATTTTAAAAGTGCTATAGTTGCCCTGCAAGTGCACTTACCCCGATAATTTGAAAGTGCTACAGTTGCCCAGCAAGTGCACTTGCCCCGATAATTTGAAAGTGCTACAGTTGCCCTGCAAGTGCACTTGCACCGATTTAAAAGTGGTATATACTATAATACACTTATAATATACTTAAAAATACAAGCTATTTTATTTTTATTGCATCTATATCTATATATTATTATTATTTAAAATGTATCTTATGCCTACGAATGAATTAATAGATTATATCACTGTTATATGATTTTTTGTCTAAAATAACACCATGTTACACGCACTAATGTAAGTCACGAAATTATTGTCACAACAGGTACTGTCCAGATATGTTCAACAACCACACGTCGGCTGTCAGTCATATGTTAACCAACCACACGCATAAGCCGTACCTCTGCGCTATTTGTCCATTGCGTTTTAAGCATCGATGCGAAGCGCGGGACCATATACTCAAGGTTTTTTTTTAAATTTAAATCTGAATTAGATAGATAATAGTAAATTGTGTATTATGGACGATAAATAACAAGTTACTAACGAGGTTATGTTAGGAACCTGAAGCCAAAGGCTGAGGGCTTTAATAATTCGAGTTTTGTATTTTTTTACCGCCCGGGATACATACAATGGTTTTTCATCACATTTGCAAGGAAATAAATACAATATAAATATGGTTCACAACACAACAATTGTCGATTTCGCAACTGGCGGGTTTTTTGTTTTTTTATTATTTTATTTTTCCATAGATAATACAACTGGAACTAAAATATTGTAAAAAGCAAACACACATTCAGCCATGATGGATTGTAAAAGAATTTGCTAAAATAACTTAAGTAGTATGTGGCTGAATTTCAATTTAAATAGATTGCTCTAAACGGTAATAACTCTGTGCAGGACGGGGCTGGGAGTCAACGCGGAATATGCTTGCACGTTTAAACTTATTCTACTAAATGCAGATCTAAAAAGTGTCAGATTTTAATTAATTAACGCACGCATTCAACATAGCCCCGCACTAGGGAAACCCTAGGGGGAAACCCTCGCGGGTGCCATGGACACACATAGACAGATTACACCCAAACTTACGAGAGAAATAAATGTAGGCCATACAAATATTCATCCCGGCCCGGGAATAGAATCTGGGACCTCTGCGTGTCAGTCCGGCATGGTAACAGATAGTACAACAAAAACTTAAAAAAAGTTTATTTTTGGTAAATTTATTATGTTTTTGACAAAAGTTGTTATTTCTGATGTTAGTAATATAGTCCTGCGAGATCTTTAGTATTTTAAAAATAACCCAATACGGTGTCCCATACCCTACCGGCCCTGTTATCCCCCGGCCAATCAGAGCATTTGCTCCGACCGGTCAGTCGCGTCTCGGCCGTCCGTAACACTAAACACTATAATTACATATTGAACCACTTAAAAATAAAAAAAACAATAAAAAAAAAGTAGAAACGAGCAATTGTACATAGAACTAATTAAACTAAATATTGTTGGAAGTCATGGCAGTAAAAAGGCGCTGGCTCAGCATGAGTTAAAGTTTTAAGTTCAGCATAATTTTTTTTATAACACCAAGTAACAAGACGAACAAATCGTGCTCCTGGTGGTAAGCGACACGCCTGTCCCTATCTACCGACCTGAGAGTTCCGGGGAGACTACGGGCTCCCCGGTAATTAGGTTTTCGCGATTATTACACATAGGAAATGAAAAACAGTTTCATTTCCTATAAAGCAGTAATGTCAGCTTTACTGTGTTCCGGTTTTGAAGGATAAGAATAAGCTGTTACCGTCAGGCGCCAGACTTGTTCGCCCCGTCACTTTATATTATAAAAAAAGACAGTTTAAAAAGCAAATTTTAGAATTATAGTTACCACAATCTGCTTCCATTCCGTTTCGCGGCATTGTAAATTGACCCTAACGGCCATTATTTATTTATTTATTGTTTATTGCTTACAGTCAACCCAAACGCAGTAGTAAGACTTAAAGCTAAATGAACAAACAATATTAAGTAAATTACAATAATGAATAAAATATGAAAATTTATAAAATTATAAATACAACACTACACAACAATAAATTATTACCGATTAACATTAATAAAAAATTGATAAAATCCATTTGTTATTCCATTTTAAACTAACACATAATACCTGTTACTTAATACTGCTATCTCCGGTCAAGGACTCCAGATAGCGTTCTGCGGAAAACACGAATTTTTATTCTGAGCATGCAAAAAGGTCCAACGAGGAGTCAAAGTTAAAGCAACTGATTTAGATACTTAAATGCTCGGGGCAGAGGGACCATCTCACTCACTCTACATCGTGTGATAGGTACTGCAAATGACCTCATTCTATGAAGTCCCACCAGATTCGTTCTAGGTACCATAACGCCTACCTTGGACAACAAAAATGGGTTGTATATTATTCCCCGTACCAGACGAAACATATAAGTTACAAGAGCCAGATTGCGTCTCACTTCTAGCATTCTATAATTTACCATACCTAAAATAAATGTTTTTGTTCAACAGGTACACACACCAGTCATGCTGTACTATTGCAGTACTTGTGATCGCCGCTTTTCACATCTGGACTATCTCAACGACCATTCTGTCAAGATTCACGGCACCAACATCAAAGGGCGCTCTGTTTACCTTCCTCGCAGGAAAGCAAGTGAGCACAGTTTTCATAATTGTAACACCACAGCCTAATAATTACAACTTTAGTTACATCGCCTTACCGCTAGATGGCGGTGGGATCGAATCGCGCGGTCGTTACCTTTTTATCCGACTTCAAATAAAGAGGAGGTTCTCAATTCTACTCTGTTTTTTTATATGTTACCCGATAACTCTGAACCGATTATGATGATTCTTTTATTTTGTTGAAAAGAAGGTACCTCAGATGTGTTCCTATTTAAATTTGAAGAAAATATTGCACATCTAAGGATGGGCAAACTAGGGGATGAATGACTTTTGAGGTCGGTTTTTTTAGTACTTTGTAATAATATAATAATAATAATTTATTGTTCTTTCCACCTTAACAATACAAATTACAGGGTATTTATCGTAAAGAACATCATACAGTGAAAATTGTGAGGTGGAAGACTGGTGCCTAAACTAGGTTGGACCTGTACTATAGGTTGTACTGAGATTATGTGTTTATTGCTTGCTTGTGCGTTAGGGAATTTACGATAATTTAGCTATATCTGCCCAAAACGCGGCTAAGAGGCAAATGGTCAAATATCCGCTTTAAATAGAAAAAGAAAGAGCACAAGATTATCTTTTAAAAATAGTTAAAATTAGTTCACGCGTTCGACTTATCGGAACTTACCCTAACGATGCATAGCTGAAGCATCATTAAACAATTTCAATATTCTAAAACTGGTTATGGTTTTTTATGACATTTCTATAAATTATTTTCTTCTTCTTCTTCGTTTTGCTCAATGGCGGTTCCTTCTTTTTAAGATTTCGCCAGTGTCGAGTTTTCCGCTTAGCAGAATAAGTTTAAATATGTTTCTGTAAATATGGCCGCCACATAGAGGATAGGCAATTTGAGGCGGCGTGCTTGGATTGACTCGGGATTCCTTAAAACGGGCCGATACGGGTATTTTAGTTCGAGATTCGTATAATTTCGCGTTTTAATCTTCGATTAAGGCACAATAGCACTATCCTATTCAACTTTAAACTAGATTTCACAAAATAATTGAAAGTCAAAATAAAAACGACACTTTTCCCTCCAAAAGGTCCAGAGCGAATCATAAATTATTTTGGCACTTAGTCGCGTTTTAGAGACCGGACGACAGATATGACAATGAGAATGTTGACATCTTTAATTGGTAATCTCATTGTAAATCGTTATTCATAGCTGTTGTTGAAATAAAATAAAAAATAAAATACGAATATTCCTCTCGGCCCAGGGAATTACTGTCAAATAAGTAATACCCAACCAAATCTAGTAATTCAAATTTAGTAGCAAATTCATTTATTAATTTTAATTAAGTACTAAAGCCACCTTACCTATTTCTGCCGCCAAGCAGTAATGTCAGCATTACTGTGTTACGGTTTTGAAGGGTAAGGGTGCTGGTGAAATGACGGGTACATTGGACATGTCAAATGTCTCAGGGCGACGGAATACTGAGTTCCAAACTGGTGGCCCGAAACGTTGGTTTGTTTGAAAAAACAAATATCAGCGATTTAAATCCGGAAAAATAGTTTCCGTTTCCTATGTGTAACAATCGTGAAAACCTAAGAGCTCCATACCATAGGTTATTTACATAAATATAAACAAAGACACTAAATATACAGTACTCAGTGGCGGATTTGCAGTCTTGGGCGCCCTAGTCATGTGTCAGTACCAGCCGCCCCTTCTCAGCACATACATAAAGTGTGATTTAGGAAGATTATGTTATACGTTGTGCGTGAGCCTTAGAATATTTAGGTACTTTGAGTTATTTCTTATTATCATAAGTGAATTTTTTGTCACGATTGGCCGCCCCTAAAATCTGGCCGCCCTAGGCCCAGGCCTACTGGGTCTTAGGGCAAATCCGCCACTCCAGATACTTTATGTGTAATTGTCTTAAAACCTTATACTGTCTTTTGCTTGTTTCAGGGCGTATTGTGGTATACCCACACATGAAGATAGATTGTACACTAATTGATAAAGAATACTTGGAAAAGGCAGAAATTGAAATTTGTGATTATATGGATGAAAATGATAAAAAACTGGACAACTATTTAGAATATGTCGTGTTCAATAATGCAGGCGAAACAATTGTTAAGGCCAAAAAAAAGAAACCATATAAATATAAAAAGCAGAAAAAGACAACAAATATAATTGATAACAGGAACATAATGTACGTAAAGAATATTAAAATCCCCACCGGTGATAACGTACCTGTTACATCAAGAGTTAATGAGTTAACTAGTATTTGTAATGACGGGAGCTGCGATCCTCACAATACAGTGGAAGCTAGACAAGTTGAGAAGGCTCTGATTGAAGATGTTTCACAAGAGGATATTGATGCCGATGATGGAGTAAATGACGAAAGTATGGTTGAATATATAAATGAAGATGAAAGTATGGTTGATGACGTAAATGAAGTTCTTATTGAAAACGTAAATGAAGAAACAATTGGAGGACACCAAGAAGGTGTAGGTGGTGACATCATGGAAGTGGACATGTTAGATGATCTATACGAAAATCATGACGTAATTGATGTGGCCGGTTGTGAATATGTTATGGCAGGTGGAACACTTTATAAAATTATTAGAGAATAATGAAAACATAACGAAATGTTGGTCGTTTACTACCCTTCCCAGTGGAGAATATTTTTAATTATGTTGTTTTTAAGTGATTATAACAATGATATGTACGGTTGTAGTTCGCTGGCACACTAGTCTTTTTATCTTGTATTATTATAGTGTTGCTAAAACAATAAATAAAGAATACAGGGTGTAATAAAAATATACAATAAATACTGTAGCTTTTGTCTATGATACTGAATCACTTTGGGTAACTGATTGACACGCGGCGTTATGTTACACACGGCGATGCAAACGCGAAGTAGTCGCTTATCATCTACATTTTTACACGCGCAATTTTAAGCAGCGACGCATAAATACAAACGCGATTGCATCGCTACACTTGGATTTGTAGGTGTAGCCGCCAGACCCAAGTACAAGATGAGGATCTCGACGAGCTCGTAAAATTAAAAGACGGTTTAAATTGACCGTAATATATTGGCAATAGATAGCAGGTTTGCTCCTGTAAACCTACTACTCCTGTAGTGCCATTAATCGCTAAACAGTGGTGGTTTCTTATAGAAGTACGATTCAAAAGTGAACGTCCTTTTTGACCTTATTGAGTTCATACAAAAAGTTCGTTCAATTCTGGTAGGGATGAAATAATTGGTTGATTGTTTCAAAATAGACGCCTACGTAATGTGCCCTTGACGAGCGTTTAGTTACTGCTTTGAAAGTTATTAAATTTTATTACAAAGATTCTGTTGCGTTCGCAACAATCGAGGCTATCGCGCGTTTGTATAGATGCAATCGCCTATAAATTCCAAGTGTAGCGAACATCGAGTGTATAACCAGAAATAGAGACGAAATAAGGGCCATATATTCCTGGTAACACATTAGCGGTACAGCTCTTATAATATCCATATTCATATTCATTTATTCATTGCCACCATATGTTAGAAAAGGTCTTAACTTAAAACATGTGTTCATATGGACCCCGTTAGGGCACTGCAAGATTTAACAATTTGAGAGAGGAACTTAATATAATATTACCTACTCACTTTCACACATTCACATACCACATTTATATTATTATATTTACAGTGTAATAACTATAATTTTATATTTATTTTCTACCTATACAATTCAATCAACTCCCGTTTGCACTGAAATATAGACAGGCCAACTACTGACCTGTGTGTACGTCTCCGTATATTCCAAAAAATATTCTGTATTTATTGTAATAAAGATAATATCTCTAACAATGCCGTGCTGTTCTATTCGGTGGTGTGGGAAAAACAGCAAAACATCTAATTACACAATAAACGGAATCACATTTCATCGGTAATTAAATATGTAATTTTGCAATTTTCGTCCATTATAGCAAAGCTCAAATTAACTGGTCGATTTAAAGTGAAACAGTTGACGACACCCGCCAACGGGTGTCGACCCGTCAATTGTTTCGATCTCGGGTTAGCCAATCGGAGCGCAGTTGTCACAATAATGACATGGCAGAATACTTTTCAAACAAATGAAATGACATTTCGTTTCAGAACAATTACTAAAGCATTTCGTCTCTATTACTTTTTAAAAATGCGGAAGAGGAAGCAAACAAAGAAAAGAAAGTTTTAGGTAGGTACATCCAATGTTATTAAAATGAATTCCATTAGAGTTATGCATTGAGTTATGTCAAACGTTTATTGATGAACTGAAAAGTGATGATAGAAAATTTTGGGAGTATTCAAGGATGACAATTTCCACATTTAATAGTCTATTAACACGACTTACAGAGCACATTACAAAAGAAAACACAATGTATAATTAAATTTGAACAAAACTCAATTCACAACAAATATTTAGACGTAACTAGTTTTTGGTCTAGATTTCGAGTTTTAATCCGATTTAAACCCGGCGTTAACAAATCGCCGGGTTAAAACCCGGGCGCTTGCCCATCTCTGGCTACGACCCAATGCTACTGCAAGCGAGCAGAGGGCGGGCCCTCTGCTCGCTTGCAGTAGCATTGGGTATGAGAGGGGAGGGCAGGGAGCAGAATACGTGCGGACAGCAATAAATAAATCGTGACGACAATAGGAGCTGCGACAATCTGTCGTCACGTTTTTATCGTGACGTTTTTTTATCGTCTGACGATTGTCGTTCTAGCTGTTCCCACTGTGACGACAGTTTGTCGTTATAACGTTAAAAAATCGTGAACGACAGTGTAATTGTGTCGTGAACATCGATATCTATATATATACAATATATATAGATCGATTATAATTATATATATATATATATATATACATATATATATACACACATATATATAATCGATTATATATACATATCGATTATATATATATATATATATATAATCGATATGTGAACAACTTCATTAAAGTATACAAGCCACAACACTGTAAACTGCACGACAATCTGTCGTCACGACATAGTGGGAACGCACCCTCACAAAAAGCTTTCATAATTAGTAAAATGAAGTGAGAAGGCGAACCGTGTCGTGAGTGGGGACTTCACGTGAGAGTGAACGAGACACAATATTATTATGAATTGTTGAATAATCTCTAAAATTATAGCGATAAAGTCGAATCTTGCGCGCATGACCTATGACACTTTAAAATGATCGAGTTATTTAAGAAGCTAATAACCCCGAAAAAAATAAAAAATAAGAGAGAACACGATAAAGTAAGACAGTACTATGATGTTAGTTTTAAAGAAAATTGCTTGGGAGGTGACGACTCTAAATAATTGTCTTATCGACACGAAATCGCATTAAGCGGTCAGAAAAAGCTATAATTCTATGTATTTAAAAGCAAAAAAGACGTTATGCGTTTCGTTTTTGCACAGCGCACAGTGAAACACTCTTATCGCTTAGCATCAGGTGAGATTGTGGCCAAGCGTGTGTCTATTAATTATTATATATTAAAAAAATATATTTGTTTTTTTAATATGGATTATAGTAACCCAATGACCTTTTATACAACAATAAAAGATCATTGTGGTAACCAAAATCTTACAGGATGGAAAATAATACTCTTAAGACCAAAATACATATTATAAACTCAGAGGATGGATAAACTCACGAACCCTTATAGGATGGAAAAAATAAATAAAACGAGCCATAATAAAATATGACAGCTAACAAAAGGTATTAATTATTACGTGTGCAGCTTTTCGGAAACAGGCGCAATCGACATTGTACAGGTCTTAGGCATGCTATGCTTTATTTTTGCCATTTGCACATTGTACACCTGTTAGTGGCATTCGTTCAACAGTTGGTAAAACGAAATTTGTAAGAGCAAGTATGAAAAATCTTAGAGCATAATAATACTATATGCTCTAAGCGAAAAATGTTCGATAAACTTTAAAAAAAATATTTTACAAACATAAAGGTTGGCTGTTTGAGAAATTCTGTATGCCATTTCAACATTTCCGAACGAATTAAAATACAAACAACAAAACAGCGACGTTACTGTCAAACGAAAGTTTAATTTCATTAATATTCATCTAAAAACCCTTAATTTCACTAAAACAAACACTGTTGACGAGCTAACAATGTTTCTAAAGTCGAATTAAAATAATACTGTTACGAAATAAGTTTGTGGAAATTATAACCTCAAATACAAGATGAGTTCCATCCAAGAGAGGTTGCAGCTGAAAAGAGTGCCTTTAGACACTTGGAATATACGAGAACAACTATGTCTAGCGTCGGCCGTCGTCAGGAGCGGTGATCAGAACTGGATGTCAGTGTCTAGAGCCCTGAAAACAGTGGGGGAGCCTAATAGGCCGCCGGATTGGTATTCGCAGAAAAGGTTAGTTTTCTCTTGAATTTTCAAATGCAACTAACACTTAAGGGTCAACGCAAACCAGCAAACGGCGGGGGAGAACATCGAATAAGATCTTATGCCCGCCAGCGCACATTGATAAAGAACATGTTTTTGGATACTGTTTACCGATACTAGAGATGCACGTTACGATTCCATTTTTATGAAAATCGATTCAATTGTATACGATCTAGCGATTTTTTAAATAAATTCATTCAATGCGATTTTTAAGCAAATCTATTCAAAATTAAGGTAAATCGAGTCATCTAGATCAGCCTTTCCCAAAGTGAGCGATAACGCGCCGTTGTGGGCGCTGCAGGCCTAAAGGGCGGTAAGAGATCCAGAAAAAAAATGGGGACGTTGTGTAGAGGCTTAGGGGGAGATTTGTAATTTCATCTAGGAAGACTCTTGGACACCGACTGAGCTCTCGACTCTCGACTACAACTTGTGAACATCAACTAATATTAATTAAGAGATTGCTCAAACTAACTCGGTTCGATATTTCTCTCCGAGAAGTTCATATATCTGTCCTGTTTTATTGAATAAATAAAATAAAATCATGTCAATCGGTCGCTCCGTTTCGAAATGAAAGTAGACACAAACAAACAAATAAAAAGGCAACAGACACAGTTTCGCATTTTAATAGTTATTAGTATTCCTAGATAGGTAATTTTCGTAGATAATAGAAAGCAGGCAATCATGTTTTAACAAGTTTTTGTTAAATAACCTGATTTGTGCATTCCTGTATCAAGCGGCTGGTTCATAGAATACTTGTTCTTACTTGTTGAGTACGATTGAGTGTCGAATGAGATTAATGAGCCTGTTGGTGCGTGCTGCTTATCCAATCCTATATAAACAATGTAATATTTATTTTATTTTCATTTGTGGTTTCGCATGTAATAGATAAGCGGTACTTATGTTCAACACTTACTTACGTATTTCTCAAAACAAAACAATGTCGGAAGTAATAAAGAAGAGACTGAAACACTGTGCGGAATATATTAAATTCAGATTCATAGAAAATCCCACAGACCCATCGTAGCCTTTGTGCCTTCTATGTCTAAAAACATTTTCGAATTAATTAATGTAGCCTTCAAGACTGCAAGATCATTTGAATAAAATGAATCCAGATAATAAAGACAAGAATGTAGCATATTTTCAAGACCTAGAGAAGCAGAAGAGCTGAGAAGAAGAAGAAGCTAGAAGAAAATACTCAGCCAAGTGTAGCAAAACACTTTTCGGCGGCTGCTACGCAAGATGAAGATGGACTTCGAGCTTCGTGCAATATCTCTTTGTTAATTGCTCAAAAAAGCAAAGCACACAACATCGAAGAAGAGTTAATTTTGCCAGCAATAAAGGAAGTAATAACTACTGTGCTTCATAAACCGGCCGCAGATATTATCCGAAAAATTCCTTTGAGTAATAATTCTGTGCAAAGACAAATTGATGAAATGGCTGAAAACATTGAAGAATCATTGTGCAATCATCTGAGGACTAGTCAATTCTCTATTCAGCTCGATGGGTCCACTTTACCAAGTAATGAAGCATTGTTGCTGTCTTACGTGAGGTTTATTAAAGATGAGAAAATATGGGAAAAACTATTGTTTGCTAGAAATTTAGAGACCGATACAAAAGGCGAAACCATATTCAACACATTGGAAAAGTTTTGTGATGAGAAAGACATTCCCTTGAAAAATATTTATCTGTTGCTACGGATGGCGCTCCGGCTATGATAGGGTGCCATAAAGGCTTCATCACGTACTTAAAAAATAAAATTCCAGATGTCCTTGCTGTACATTGCGTTATTCATAGACAACATTTGGTTGCTAGAAATTTAAGTGAATGACTATTTCATCACTGCAATATGTCATCAAAGCAGTCAATAAAATCCGTAAGAGCAAAGTCAAAGTCAAAGATGATTTATTCCATAGGTAAAATAAATTTACACTTGAAAACGTCACATTTAAGGTACTGCTCGTTCACTACGCTGACCTCCCTGAGAAGAACGAGCTAGAAACTCTAGGTATTGCTCTTTTCAAATAAACTTAAATGCTATGGAATACATTTTGAATCAAATTTGTGTGGATTCTGGAGCCATGTCGTCTTTCCATACATCTTTATCTAACACGTAGTCTTCAATTTTGTAATATGATTTTTCAATCAAAATATTTTTAATGTAGTTTTTAAACTTAGGAAATGATAAACTTAATATATGCTCCGGAATCTTATTGTAAAAACGTATACAGTTCCCCATAAAAGAGTTGTTTACCTTGGTTAAACGAAATCGTGGTACCATGAGTTTGGACTTAGCTCTAAGGTTAATATTATGGATATCTTCTTTCTTATTGAAATTATGTATATTTTTACGGGCATATAAAATATTTGAGTAAATGTACTGTGATGCCACAGCCATGATACCAGTCTCCTTAAACTTTTCTCTGAGAGATACCCGAGAGCCTAGACGGTACACAGAACGAATCGCTCGTTTTTGCAATACAAATATGGTTTGAATATCTGCCGCTTTACCCCACATGAGAATCCCGTAGGACATTATACTATGGAAGTAACTAAAGTAAACTAGTCTAGCAGTACTAACATCGGTAAGCTCACGTATTCTGCGGACTGCGTATGCAGCGGAGCTTAATCTGCTGGCCAGGGACGATATATGTGGAAACCACTGAAGTTTACTATCTAAGGTCACTCCCAAGAAGACTGCTTTATTAACAAGGTCTAACTTTTCTCCGTTTATTTCTATGCTTGGACTAGTCGATTTTACGTTAGGTAATTCAAATTTAACACATTTTGTCTTCTTGGCATTAAGCAATAAATTGTTAGCATTAAACCAATAAACTACTTTAGAGAGGGTATCATTAATACGGTCATAGTTAATGTCATGTCTGTCCGTTTTAAAAATCAAGGATGTGTCATCAGCAAACAACACTATTTCGCAATGGTCCTTAACAAAGAATGGCAGATCATTAATATAAATCAGAAATAAGAAAGGTCCAAGTATTGAGCCCTGCGGAACACCCATTTTTACTGGAGAACCCAAAGAAGTCGCTCCATTTATGCCTACTTTCTGAATTCTACCGTTGAGATATGACGAGACAAGTTTCGACGCCTTGCCATTTACACCGTAATGTTCCAGCTTACTAATAAGAGTATTATGATCAACGCAATCAAATGCCTTTGAGAGGTCACAGAAAACACCAATAGCGTTCTGGGACCCTTCCCAAGCATCAAAGATGTGTTTTAGTAACGCTACCCCCGCATCGCTAGTCGATCTACCACTAGTAAACCCGTATTGTTCACTATGAAAAATATGATTCCTACCGAAAAAGGACAGTAATTGAGTTAGCATAACCTTTTCGAATATTTTACTTAAAGCTGGTAAAATTGAAATGGGCCTATAGTTGCTAGGATCAACTTTCCTACCGCTTTTGAATAAGGGAAAAACCTTGCTGTATTTCATTAAATCGGGAAAAACACCTTCGTCAACGCACCTATTGAAAGCTACAGCTAACTGTGGGGAAATGAGATTAATAACTGAGTCTATAACTTTAGTTGATATGCCCCAGAGATCTTCTCGAGCTCTTTGAATGATAGATTATTTCATCAGCTTTGTGTTACTAATGACAAAGATTTCAACCGTTTGTTGTTTCATACTGAAGTTCATTGGCTATCAAGAGGCAATTGTCTGACTTGATTTTACAACCTCTTTGACTCTGTGATAGCATTCTTGGAAACTAAAGATACACAATTGCGCAACAAGCTTAAAGAATTTACGTCAAAGAATGATATAGCTTACATGACAGACCTGTATAAATTGTTCAATGACATGAATCTCCAACTGCAAGGCGATGAACTAAATTTAATTAAAACAAAAAAGGCCAAAAACATTGGCAGGTGTAGCCCGTAAGAGTTAACTTGAGACCTGAGCGCCGTTATGTACTACCTACTGCGCTCAGGTCTCAAGTTAACTCTTGCGGGTTATAGTAAATTCTCGTCTAGAATGAATGTTTAATCTTCGCTAAAAATACATTACAATAATTAATTTAATTTGAAGTTATAGTGGTTTTTAAGTAGTTGAAAAAATGTCAAAAATGTCTTGAAGAGGTAGTTACTGCTATCGGCACGTTGAATTCCGACCTACAAACGGTTTCGATATGGACTAAGAGCTACGGACTTCTTTTAAATGCACAAAAGTCCCAAGCCATAATTATTGGCAGTCGCCATTCCATCTCCAAGTTTGAGTCTATAGTGATGCCCAATTTAGTTTTGAATGACACCATTATTCCTTTTTCGACTTCAGTTAAAAATTTGGGCATCATAATGGATCAGATACTTTCTTGGTCGGAGCATGTCGCCGATGTAAGTCGTAAAATCTTTGCATCACTTCATTCCCTCAAGCAGATGCAGTACTTTCTTCCTCTGTCTACCAAATTTATGCTCATACGCATTCTTCTTTTTCCTATTCTAGACCATGGTGATCTCTCCTATCTTGATCTTTCGGAGGACCTTCTTAATAAATTGGAGTGGCTGCAAAATCAATGTATCAGATTTGTGTTTGGATTGAAAAAGTAAGACAACATTTCCAAATTTAGAGATGAGTTGAAGTTGTTGCCTATTCGTTTACATGGAAATGCTCACATTTTATGCTTCCTCTATAAAATCCTGTTCCATCCCACTTCAACTAGCTATCTACGTGAGCGTTTTCAATACCGTCGGGCTATGGGTGGCCGCCTGCGTTCTGGCACCAATTTGTCCCTCGTCCTTCCTCAACACAGTTCCCAAAAATATTCGAACTCGTTCACAGTAAATGCTGCCCGTATGTGGAAACCTCTCCCGGTCGAGGTCAGACAGTCGCCTTCGGTTCGGGTTTTCAAGGGTGCTCTTTTGAAGTTTTGGGATTGTTCAAACTCCACATGTTAGAGCTTTTGAAATATTTATTTACATTTGATATATTTATATAGTTTTATTTTGTGCAT